TGTGTTGAAACTTAATCCTCATTGTGGTGGTATTAAGAGGTGGGGCCTTTTGGGAAATGATTAAGTCATGAGGGCTCTGCTTGAGGGAGTGTCCTTCTAACTTCTGAGGACATAGCATTCATCCCTTCTGCCACATAAGGATGCAGCAAGAAGGCCCTCGCCAAACAGTGAAGGCTGGCACTTTAATCTTGGACTTCCCAACCTCCAGAACTGTGAGAAATAAATTGCTATTGTTTATAAGTTACCCAATCCATGGTATTTTGTTATAGCAGCATGGACTAAGGCACAACTGTAGGAGTAACATTTTCAGAAGGTGAGAGGAAATGGAATCCACGGCATTAAGTACAGAGATTAGATTTAGTTGGGAACAGAGATGTTTTACGCATTTTAATATGAGAAAAGGTAGCACAGTGGGTATAGATGTGGGCAAGCCAGTGAATTTTGAGGTAGAAAGAGAAAATTGCCTTGTGATTTCATTTTCCCAGTAAAGACAAGGTCTAAAAAAATGAGTTAAGGGAAGGGAGGAAAAGGGTGTTTAAATTCGAGGTTTAAGGAAAAAAGAAATGTTTGAAATACTGATTTTCAAGAACATACTAGGGAATTGTAGGAATGTTAGCAGTATTGAGTGTGCATTTATGATTGTTTCCTTATAATGATACTAATCAGCAAGGTTGTCTCCATTTTTCTGCATCTGTCATCAGCCATGAGGAAAAACAAACAAGTTGGCCAAGTTAGATTTAATAGATGTTGGGTTTCTAGCAGATGAGTAAAACAAAAAATTAAAGGGCATTTGCAATGAAGTGACTACAATGCTGGACCACTAAATCTAAACTGAGAAAGAAGGGAAAGAGGACATGGATGCTTCACAAATATATGTCTTACTCCCCAAGTGGTCTATAAACTCAAAAGCAAAAACCATGAGTTTTATACTATGTATACCTCACCAAACAGCAATATAGTTAGTGTAAGCCTTTGCTGACTGATTAAATGAGAGTTCCCATATTCTAGAACTCCAAATGACATGAACTCCTCAGATTTAAAAAAAAAATTTTCTAAAAGTTTCTAAAAAACTTTCTAAAAAAAACGTTTCTAAAGATTATGAAAAGAAAAATAAATACATGATGGAATGTTTGAGTTCTAATGAACAGGTGGCTAGGTTCCCATAATATTTCCATAAAAACAAAGAATAACTGCTGGACATTAATTAAAGGAAGACCATGGCAATAGAAATTAAACTTAGCCACAATTAACTTCATATGGGAAACTTAAACCTAATTACTACAGGGCATCCCCTCTCAGAAAAACTCCCATCTCACAAAATGAAAACAACTGCATTTCCAGGCACTCTCTCAGCGAATGCTAACTAGTCAGGTGAACTGGAACTTTGACACTACTGCTACTATAGCCTATCGTATTAAAGAATTTAAAATAATTCTAGAAGCTATGTGACCATCTCCTATAAATAATTCATACAAATTACTTAAAGTCATTCATTTTTGCTACTTTATTTATTCTTTCCGTATTTAAATAATGTCAAGGAAATCCTAGAGATGACAAAACAGATTTTAAGTAGGTTAGCTTCAAATAAAAATTATCACAATCCTTCATATGTATAGATTTTGAACTATTCTGTTCCCTATGGCCAAAACATATGGTTTAATCAGTTAAGTTCAGTGAAATAAAGAAAATTGGGTCCAGATAGCATGTTTAGGGAGAAAAAGAGATAAAACTACTAACAGAAAAAAGGTTTGGCTCCCAGGCTGTGTTCCTACTCAAGTCACCACATAGAACAAACCATTAGCAAAGAACTGAAATAACTTCCTTATCTGAAACATGAGACTACTAAAGCAGATACTACTGAAGTTTTCTTTCTACTCCAAAAATTCTATTTCTAATCTAGTGCTTCGGACTTCCTTCTTTCAAAGGCCTTTGAGAAAGGGAGTGCTAAAAGAGTCAACCTTTCAATTTATGAAACATGGATTACAATTAACAGAAAAGTTTAGAAGAACACAAGGACAAATACTTCAAAATCAGAAAAAAAACTAGACTATCTAAGCTAATTATTGATAATATCCTCCATCCTATGCCACTGTTTCACATTCACTCTTCTCACACCCATTCTCCTTTATTCTTAATTTGTGTGTATTTGATGTTTACATCATGGTATGTGATACATATAAATGGTAAAATGGTTATAATAGGGAAGCAGATTGGCATATCTATCATCTTACGTACTTTTTATGTGACAAGAGAAACTAAAATCTACCTATTTAACAAAAATCCTTAATACTATACAATTTTATTAAGCCTTAGGCCCAGCAGCATTACCATCTGACCTGCATGCCTCCTGGAGAACTATGAGGTAAGTGAACCCAGACACAGAATTTATTTGGAAAAACAAGAGCTAACAGTTTGCAAATTCAAGTCAGAGGTTCTTTCTTATCTTTATATCCCCATCACCAAATCAAGTGTCAAATATACAGCTGACACCTAATTTAACTTCTCTACATAATTCATTACACCAGTGGTTGTCAAAGCATGGTCACCTGGGATCTTTTTAGAAATGCAAAATTTCAGGCCCTATCTAGACCTACTGAATCTGAAACTCTGGAAGTGGGGCTCAGCACTCTGTGTTTTAAAAAGCCCTCTATATGAGATTCTAATGCACACTCAAGTTTGAGAACCACTGCACTAAACCCACCTGGTGACTAACAAAAAGAATGCTGATATTGGCCAGGCGGCGGTGGCTCACGCCTGTAATCCTAGCACTCTGCGAGGCCAAGGTGGGTGGATCGCTCAAGGTCAGGAGTTCGAGACCAGCCTGAACAAGAGCAAGACTCCCATCTCTACTAAAAAATAGAAAGAAATGATCTGGACAACTAAAAATATATATATACAGAAAAAATTAGCCGGGCATGGTGGCGCATGCCTGTAGTCCCAGCTACTCAGGAGGCTGAGGCAGGAGGATCGCTTGAGCCCAGGAGTTTGAGGTTGCTGTGAGCTATGCTGACGCCACGGGACTCTAGCCGACCAACTGAGCCAGACTCTGTCTCAAAAAAAAAAAAAAAAAGAATGCTGATTTTTCTCAGCTGCCACCACTGACTTACAAATGCTTAGACACACATGATGTTGTCAACCATTTAACTTCTGTCTCCAGCCTGTACACCTAATGAACTTTAATAAAACTCTTGGAGCCTCAGTTTCCTGATCTGTAAAGTAAGGTTAATACCACATATTTCCATGAATAAGAAATGATTTATAGAAAGACTCCTTTCTTTGTTTCTCTATTACCTGTACCAAGTCCCTGCTATTTACACAGGCAATGCTCCTAAAGAAGATAGCACTCTGGCACTCCTCTGAGAAATGTCACCAATCCCTCCTACACAGAAAAGCTCTCTAATGATCTTTTCTTATAATAAACAGACTATACCGCAGGAGGGAAATGAATGTTAAAGAGTCCTACAGAATCACATACAGCACAGCAATTCTAAAAAGATCCACAAGCTAGTGGAAAAAACACATTATACAAAAATGTGCACCTCTGTAACCTAAAAAAAAAAAAAAATTGCCATTAAACAGAACATAGGCGACTTTCTCAAGTGTCCAAAATAAATCATTATTGATAACTGGACATAAATACTACAGAAGGAGGAGGAATTAGGCATAAGAAATGCAAGAGAACTGGAATATATGACCCATATTAAAGTGGTCCAGGCCTTCAAATTCCAGTTCCCTAGATTTTCTGGGGCAGCCTCACGGTCAAATTCTTTGTCCCAATATTGTCGCACTACATGTTCCAATTTTGAGCTCAAAACTATATATATATATATGGTCACCATAGGAACCAAAAACAAACAAAAAATACTGCCATGAATGAGACATAAAAACTGTAGAGTATTACTTTAAAAAAAAAAAGTTGAGAACTTTGAGAGGATTTCACCGTAAACAATTCCTAACTTTAGTTTCTCACTCCCTCTGAAATACTCAAAGGTTTAATTGGACCTCCTTGACAACTAGCCCTTTTTATGAGAATGAAAACACATCCGTGCATGTGATATATCACTATTCTCGAATATTTCGCACAGTCACCAAGGTAGGAGCATTCGTTATATTGGCACTTTCAGCTTTAATTCTTACTCCTCCCCGCTGACCTCTAAGATGGGACAGCCCTCTATTTTCGCTATCCTGTTGGAGTAGCCTACATTCCAGTCTGTAGGGCCGAAATTACCTTTAAGCGTTCATATCTTTTTAAGGGAACACTTCCTCAGAGAACTCGGAAAAGTAAAGCCAGCCTAAATTCAATGACACCATGCTGGGAGTTGTAAAACCACAAACTTAGTGTCTAGCCCTCCCGGAGTTGGAACTCCAACACCGGCCCCTCAATGCACCAATCCAACAACTTCTATACCCGACAGTGTATCGTAATGTAATGGTCACTCACTTTTTTTAACAGTCAACACCGTCTCCTTCACCTCACCCGGCCGGACACAACTCCGCCACCCCTGCCCAGGAACTCCAAAGCGAAAAAAGTCTTTCCTTTGGGCCACCCTTACTGCCTCCTCTCAGCACGACTGACCAACACTGTCCCAAGGCGTCAACCAAGGGTCCCAAGCAGGGCCGGGACCCGGCGGCTGCCCAAGTTCCGTGTCCCAAGACGCTGCCGAAGTCGCCGCGCGGAGCCCCCGTGCCCTGCCGCGGGGCGCGCAGCGGCCACGTTGCCCCCCGCCTCCTGGGACCGCAGCGGCCCCACTCCTCACTCCAAACCCGCTGTCCCGGCCCCGCGGCCCTCTGGTCCCCTCACCTCTTCCCCACACAAACCCGGAACCCGGCGCCGGCCCCCGCCCAGGCGCGAGCTCAGGCCCAGGCCCGGCCGCGGTCTCCTCCGGCTCCCGCCCCAGCTCCCGAGCCGCGCCGAGACTCGCGCCCGGGAGCAGACGGGGAAGCGCTGGGGGCCCTGACCCGGGAACCCGCTCCCCGGGCAGTGGCAGGGCAGGTCTCACCTTCGTACTGCAGATCCACCAGGACCAGCAGGAAAGGGAACACCGAGCCCAGCCGGCTGGTCACAGAGCCGGGGGCCACCATGTCCGAGGGCGCGGGGAATCAGGAGGAGGAAAGGTGCGCGGCCCACCAGCCCGCGCTGGCGCTCAGGGTGCAGCTGCGCCGGCTCGCCGTCGGCCCTCGTTCAGGCCTAACAGCGGCTGGCGCCGAGCGAAGGAAAGCAGCGGTGGGCGGGGCCCGGACGACGCTACGCCCCGAGCGCCGCCGCCACCCAATCGCCTTCTTCCCGGCCGCTCTCCTACTGGGCTCGCCGGGGTCGTGGTTCGCGCTGATAGGCTGCAGAGGCCACCGCCCCGCCCCGTCTCTGATAGGATAACGTGGAAGCACGAGACTAGGCTGCGTCCGTCAGTCGTGGAGCTGTCAGAGAACTCCAAATCGCCGCGGCGGACCTGAGGGAGGCAGCCCGGGCGTCTGTGAGGCGGCCGCCCAGTCCGCATGCGCAGGCAGAGGAACCCGTTTTGGGCAGGTCCTGGCGATCTGGTCGGCGAGTGGGGCGACTCGAGCAATCTGAGGTTTATCGGTGTGGTGTTTGGAAGGAGCAGCCGTCTCGTCCGGAACGGAAAGGCCAAATATGGTTCCAAAAAGTCCAAGGGGAGCTTTAAGGCGCCTGGAATTGAGGTCTTGGAATGAGCCAGTAAACGCCACCTCCCGATGATCGTCTCGGAACAAATACTGACAGAACAGTAAGCAAGAAACGGGCAGGAGAAATCGGGGCTCAGTTTAGTAAGGCGATGTGATGGAGGTTAAAGGATTTCAGGGACAACTAGAAGTACCTAATTGACCTAAGGCAGGTAAGTTACAATGGCTTGGAAACTTGGGAACCCCCTCCCCCTGACCGTCCAGCAAACCACTGTGTCCGGAAAAAAGTGATTCTGGAAGACTGCGAAGAAGAGGCACAGTGGCTTAAGAGGGCAAGGGGTTCTTGAGAATGCAGAACCAATGTCAACTCTGAGAAAAAGAGAACTGTTGGAACGGATCTTGTATCTTGGGCTCAGCAGAGGAAATTGAAATGAACTTGAACAAGATAAAGTTACTCAATTGGGCATTAAGCTTGTTAACGGCTATTTCCTCTGGCGTCCCCCACACACGCTATACACCAGCGATGTTTTACATGGAGTAGAACAATGGCTTTTTTGTGTCGAGCGCTGTCAAGTGCGTACTTACTACTTTACTGGTGAATATTTGCTACCTTGGTACTAGTTCACGCTTTAGAACTCATTAATTACTACAGTGAATTTTTGATTTCCTGAAGATATACTAAGGAGGATGAAAGGGGAAAGGCGATTATTCCGAAGGGAACTGATAAGGAAATGGTTTCGAGAAAGAAAAAAAAACTGAGTTCCTAATTAGTTGTGGGGAAGGCAGCATAATGTAATGTGGAGAGCAGAGGATTCAGATCCAGGCAACACCATAACTGGTATGTAAGTTATCTTCATCTGTGAAGTGGGTATGAGCCTGCTAGTCACAAAGGTTTGTTTTGAGGTTTCATGAAGCAGGTAAAGGTTCTTGTGAATTATAGAGTGTTATGCAAATGTTCTCATGGTTCTAACAAAAGCAGAATAATAAATAGACTCCTTCAGAAATTCCTTGGAAGTTTTTGTTTTTTGGCTCACCCTTTTTCTTGGTATCACAGGGCAGTGAGTGAAAAAAAAAGGCAGATGATTTCACTGTCCACAAGTATACCAGTGAAGACATCATGAAAATAACGTACTGTGGCCAAGGTAACCAACAAAAATACTGAACATGGTGAGAAAAGAATTTTATAAACAAAATGCAATATTCCTGGACTACGAATTATCACCAGAATGCTGCATGTGACTCTAGTCTTAAGGAAAAAAGTAGAGCTGAAGAAGTTCTAAGGACAGAAATTAAAAATTATTAAGGAGATGATAGACTTTGTGTTATAGAAAATAAAAATAGCAAGGACTAGCAAGGGTCTTCAATGGTGATTTTAAACATTTATTGGTCAGTTACATAACTAAATTCTGTAGTATTAGAACTAAGCTTTACAAAGTATTCTTTGAAAAAGCTAATTTCACAACAACGAAGGTAACATTACTTTAGAAAGAAATGTACAAAGCTAAAATTATGAGCAAAATGCTTCCTCCAGTGTTTATCTTGGCATGATTTTCAGCTGATGACCCTTGCCAATAAAACCAAAAACCAAAGTAATCCAGTGATTGTAGGAAAAATTAACATAAATACTGTTTGTATTTCTCAGCATTTATTTACACAGTCTTCTTCAAAATTAAACATTAAATCTCTATCACCTATTACAACAGCAAAAGACTTAAAACAGTTGTAGCATATTTAAATGAATTATACATCCAACATTAAAAAGATTATATAATTTTTAATAGGTTGATCTATGCCTAATTGACCAAGAAAAACAATGCTGGTAGAAGGAGTAGAGAGATCTAGAACACATTTTGGAAATAAAGGACATAAGATTTGCTGATGGATTAGCTATGGGAAGAAATAAACGTTCAGAAAAGTAGAATACTTATAAACCATCTTTTTATGCCAAATTAACAAAAAGATAGGCAATATTATAATTAATACAATGAATACTGCAATATGCATCCTTCTACATTTATCTTTACGAACTTGTGCTTTCATTTCTTCTTCTTTTTTTTTTCCTGCAACCTCAAACTCCTGGGCTCAAGTGATCCTCCTGCTTCAGCCTCCCGAGTAGCTGGGAATACAGGCACATGCCACCATGCCTGGCTAATTTTTCTATTTTTAGTAGAGACTTGTCTCAAACTCCTGACCTCAAGCGATCCTCTCACCTCAGCCTCCCAGAGTGCTAGGATTGTGATTATATTACTATAAAATGGATTCCTAAAATTAGCATTGCTTAGTGAAAGATTGCACACATTTACAGCCTGGGCAATAGTAAGAGCCCATCACTACAAAAAATTTAAAAATTAGCTGGGTGTGGTGGCATGTGCCTGTAGTCCCAGCTACTCAGAAAAGCTTAGGCAGGAGGATCATTTGAGTTCAAGAGTTTTAGGTTGGCCGGGTGCGATGGCTCACGCCTGTAATCCTAGCTCTCTGGGAGGCCAAGGCGGGTGCATTGTTTGAGCTCAGGAGTTCGAAACCAGCCTGAGCAAGA